ATATTCCTATCTAAAAGTCGCTCCAAATAAACTGTAAATAGTTTGCATTTATAGTATATAAAATATATATCTCCAAGAGATGTAATACTAGAAATTACAAATAAATAACATGCTAAATTTGGGTAAAATTAAGGGATAAAAAGATACTAATTACTAACTATACAATACTTTAATCATAGCTGTACAATACTAACTGTACAATAAACAAAGACAGAACAGGAACAATACAAAGTGGATTGTGCAGTAGGTATAGAATACCAAGTACCAGATGCAAGTGCTGAATTTATAAGAAAAATTATAATTATAATTATAATTATACCCAAATGTTATTTCAGTTTCACTTCAGTGTATTAAAAGCGTAGATAAATGCATTATTACCAATCCTGTTTACTGAGTACAAATAATAGACTATTTCTGCATCCACCTAAGCTTAAATTGTTGTGGTCTTCACTAACTTCTTTTTTCGACACTATGGTTTCACTAAATGCTAATTAGCTTCATGTGTGACTTTCAAAGTACAGCTTAATTTTCAAAATATGCATCAGTTTTTCTTTTGCATTAATCTTTTGGTATTTTAACGTATCAGTATACCAATAGTCTTAGTTAGAATCTCATTTTGATTTTGTATTTTTCTATCTTATAGTTGAAAGTGAAGTCTCTTTGGAAGATATTCTTGTTTTCTGCACCGGATGTGACAGCATTTCAGCCCTGGGTTTTTCCCCAAAGCCAAGCCTTGAGTTCATCACTAACTGCAGATTTCCAGTGACCAATATTTGTGAAAATATCCTTCGTATACCAGTTCATGTAGTGTACTACTTTCAAATCAGACATGGATTTTGCAATACGGAATTCACCAGGATTTGGAAGAGCATAATGATGTCAAGGATTGTAGAATGATGAGGATTTTGTTTTTGTTTTTCTATTTTGCATATGCATGTTAATTTTCTTGTTTCTTGTTAATGTTGTTAACCCAGCGTCAGATTATCAACCTGTCCAGGGTGTACTCTGCCTTTCATCCTGTGGTAGCTGGAATAGGCTAGTAACGCGGATAAAAATAAGCAGAAGAGAATGGATGGATGCATTTGGTTTCAGTTTATACATATGAGGCATATTTTGTTTTTGGATTGTAGTTTATCTGTTCCTGCCTTTATGGCATGTTGTATCTCTGTTCTCTGATATGACCCATAGTAACATTAGATTATTTAGTACCCCTGCAGGGAGCAAAAGAATATGCCACAACCTCACTGTTAAATAGAATTCAATTTTGTCAAATGCTTCCTGTGTCTAGCTATTCCACACAATGTATGGAATGTCAGTGGTAATGTCATAATATACGAGGTTTATCAGCCATGTTTTGTATTTCAGATACCTTTGTTTATTTTTGAAATACTATAGCTAGATGTAGTCATTGAACGATCTGCCACCTAGAGCAACTTTTCTTTACATTCTCAAATGAGATAAGTCTGTCAAGATTCCTGGGTCATTGACCCAGCGTTTTCAGTTCATGTTTACTGTTTCTTCCACATGTTCCATTTCCTGTTTCATTACATTCAGCCGTACTCACCTGTGTCCAATTATCATTCAGTCTTTGTATTCAAGTTCCTCAGTTTTACCAGTTCACTGTCCTGTCATTGATGTTGTGATTGTCTTCATTCCCGTCTGTATTCCGTTGTTCAGCCAGCCATTCAGTCTTTCAGTTAGTTAGTGAGTCCTGCCGTTCCTGTTCTGTTCACTCACTCGCTCTAATAAATCATCATCATTCTGCACCGTGAGTCCTGCGTTTGGGTCCCTTCCTGTCGTCCTCTCACCCACACACCACGACTTCTGACAGAATGACACAAACCGTGCCACGACGACACGCTGTGGACTCAGTGGACACTGTCCTGTTCGAGCAGCAGGAGGCAGCGCTCTCCCGCTAGGGCGGAGGAGCTCAGGGGGAAACAGCGGCTCTTTGCGGAAGAAGAGCACATCTTCGAGGGGAGTCGTTTGGCTCTGGGCGGACCTCAGAGAGGCCGTGTTCTCCCACCTGCTGCCTCACCTGCACCGGAGTATTTGCCTCGGAGAGTGGGCGTCTCTCGCCGCGCTTCAGCCTCTCCCTCTCTTGCCGCTCCGCTCCTCACTCACCCACCGCCTCATTCATCCGCCTGCTGCCACAGCTAAGTGGAGGCAAGGCTCACGCCGCCATCCTGTTTCCTGTTTGGAGCAGCAGCATCCGGTGGTGAGCGAAACAGACTTTTTTCTTTCACCTCGCCATAATCCAGAGACTGTTCACCGCCCACCTAAACCAAAGACTGTTTACTGCAGGGGTAGGCAACTCCAGGCCTCGAGTGCCGGTGTCCTGCAGGTTTTAGATCGCACCCTGGGTTAACACACCTGAATCAAATGATTAGTTCATTACCAGGCCTCTGGAGAACTTCAAGAAATGCTGAGGAGTCATTTAGCCCTTTAAATCAGCTGTGATGGATCATGGACACATCTAAAACCTCCAGGACACCAGCACTCGAGGCCTGGAGTTGCCTACCCCTGGTTTAATGTGACTACATTCTGGATTATCCAATTAATTCTAACCATCCTGCCTCCGAACAGACTGCTCCACCATCTCAGGCTACTGCTAAAGACATTATCACTGAAACCTGTAATTTCTCCCACTCAATCACCATTTCACCCATTAGTCAACCTTTTTCTGCTAGCAGGGCAGCTCAGAGACTGCCTTCCCTTCCATCTGTTTCACTTTCTCAGGTGAGGGCAGCTATTGCTCAGCCTGTCCCTGCAGCACCTCCTCGGGTGGCTAGGGACCAGCTAGCACTCACTCCTGTGCCAGCTCCCAGGACAAGGGCAGCTGTGACCCAGTCTACCTCCACACCCATTCTGTTTTTCAGGTGGGGGTGACTGGTGTCCAGCCACCCCCCGTGCCTGTCCCAGTGCTCAGGCTGAGGGCAGCCAGAACCCAGCCTGACCTCCCTAGAGGCTTGAAAGAGCTAGCCTGTCCACCTGCTAGTCCACCTCTTCATCCACCTCCTGATCCAGCTTTCCATGCTCTAGCACTGTCTCTGATCAGGCTAGCTGAGCTCTTCCCAGCTCAAGCACCTGATGCGCTAGCCCAGGCTGCAGCTTTGTCCCCTTCACTAACTCAGTCTTTAGCTCAGCCATTAGCCTCGCCAGTCCAGTCAGTTCAGTTGCCTGCTGTTCAGCTGCCAGCTCAGTCAGTCCAGTCACCTGCAGCTCAGTCCAGTCTCCACCTCTCCTGTCCAGTCAGTTCAGTCTCCTCCTGTCCCCCAGTCGCCGGTCCTCCAGCCAGTCCAGTCTGTCGTCCAGTCTCCTGTAGTCCAGTCAGTTCAGTCTGTCGTCCAGTCTCCTGTAGTCCAGCCAGTCCTGTCTGTCATCCAGTCTCCTGTAGTGCAGTCAACGGATCCTCCGTCACTGCCGGCTTCCACACCGTCGCCTGCAGCTGCTGCTCCGTCACACCGGCTTCCACGCTGTCACCTGCAGCTGCTGCTTCATCACCTTCTCCTCGTCCACGTCGGATTTGGCGTCGGGGGACACCGTTCAGGCCGCTGACTGGACCTCGTCGCCGGCGTGGTCGGCCTCCGGACCTGCTCAATCGCCTCAGCCACTGGCCACCCACCAGAACTGTTTCTGTTTGGACTCCGATTCAGTGTCCCATTTGAATATTTATGCTTTACACAGAAATTCATATTAATTTTCACTTGATTTCTAGCTTAACTCACAGGTTTAAATAATAGTTTTTGTTAGGTTTTGGGAAAGTTTTGAAAAGTGTTACAGTAACACTAATGAAAACATATTTAAAGGGGGACTAACAGTATCTCCAACACTGCCAGCAAGTTGTCTATAAATATGACACACATGAAATATATAATAATATATAGCTGAAATATGAACATTATATCATCATCGCACTATATGACATTACATTCTTATCAAATAATGATACTACTACTACTACTAATAATAATAATAACTGTTAAACATAACCTGGTTTACATTCTTTAGGGAATGTTTAAGGATTTTGTTTACTTGATTAGACAGGCTTATTGTATTTTGTTTGTTTTATTCTTTTCTTTTCTTTTCTTTCTTTCTTTGTTTTTTTTTGTTTTTGTTTTTGTTAAGGTCAGTGTTGCTCTATTACTACAGAATACTCTTTTCTTCCTCTGGGTTCTGGAAATACATAAAGTGTTCTGTGTCATTTTTTTCCAAATATCAGCCTGTAAGAGTTTAAATAAAACATTTCTGTGTTTTAAAGTTGAAAATGTATAACAGATATTTTATTTAATAAAATTCACAATTCGTGTTTATTAACAGATAAATTAGTACATCATACCATGATATGTAACATAAACTGTAACATTTTGTACTGTGACAAGTATGGTTTGTCATGAAAGAAAAGTGTAGTCTAAACACTTTATTTGTCTACTTTTATGATTTAAATGGCACAAGTGAATATGAAGATAAAACCAGTCTTATCAACCTTTACCTAAATAATACCCTTGGAAGTTTTTCAGTATTGTGATATTTCACAATTTTTAGTGTCTGGCAAAAAAAAAAAAAAATTCTATTCAACACAACTTAATTTACTAATAACTGAAGCATGTGGCATGCATATTCAAAAGTTCATTCTACATATATATTTAAGTTTCGTTCTATACATTCAGAAGATCATTCTATATACATTCAAGCTTCATTCTATATATTAAGACTTTGATTGATATATATGTATAATATTTTTCTAAACGGCATTCCATAATATATTAATATAGTATATTTAATATAATATAATATAATTATGATATAATTTAGATATTATATATGATAGGTTAGAAAGAGAGAGAGAGGAGGTTAGCTTCTGGAGGTGTAATAAGTGGGTGGCTCAGTGCTTTTTTCCATATAGTGCCACATCAGTCTTAGCCTGACAGCTGACCAAAGCATATTTTATATCACATTCTGTAAGTTTAAATAATGAAGTACTTACCCCAATAGCAAATCGAACAATGTTTTTACTCTCTGCTAGCTGTGCTGCACCTCCCAGATAGTCCGATCATAGATTGTCCATCAGTAATTACTATCAAGACCTTCTTTGCATTAGGTCTCATACCTTCTTGTGGTATGAAAACTGTGTTTCTGTGAAATTAAAAAAATAAAATAAAAATTATATGTATATATATATACAGTATATATATATACATATACATATATATATACAGTTTAAGTTTACCTATATACAATATTATATAATATATTATATTTATTATATTATTTATATATAGAATCTATAGTATATATATAATTTAATTATTTATATATATGATATTATATAATTACAGTATATATGATATATACAATAGTATATATAGTAGTAGGGTAGAGTAGTACATGATATATTACTAGTATCATTATGAATACATACAGTATATACTGCGTAATTATTAAATAGAATATATATATTAGTTATTATAGGTATATAAAAGGTATATATAGTAGTATAGTACTTTTATATGTAGTATAACACCAGTAGCGTTATTTGCTACGAGCGAGCAAGGGCTGGCGGTTGCCCGGGGCGGCATGATGGTGGGGCGCAAATCGTACGCCATCGGTCAAAAAATAAAATCAATTGCTGCAGTACGTCATAACGCACGCGTGCATATCGGGGAACTCGGATGAGGGCCGATCGTGTGGCGGTGTTGCTGTTATTTATCGCGCGCGATCGAATTCGCATGGGAGTAAGAGGCGCCCTCCGTTTTGGGGTGCGAACTTCTGCCTTGGCGGACAGCGGGGAGGGGGGAGGCGGGGCGTGGGATCTTCTCTGTTACATACAGTACAGGATATAGAGAGATGAGAGGATGAGGCTCCAGTTACAGCAGTGCAAGTAAACAAACAAGAGTAAGAAAATAAATATACACTTTAGGACTCGGGGTAAAGGGATCAATAACAATTTAAAATTTATAATTTACAGTTTGATGATTTAAAGTCTCACACACAACCCGTCGAAGGGGGGGGGCTGCTTCCAAATAGAGCACATTTCATTCATAATGATGTAAATCCAAGCCCATTATGTATTCATGATTTGAATCCTGGGTTGTGTGAAATCCCAGAAATAAACCCTAGACAAAGTGAATCTGTGAACTAAGGTGTAGGTTGTAGGGGATGGGTGTTCATACTGGAGTGCAAAATTAAAACCAATGGAAGATGGACAAGAAAAGTTCAAAGCCATCAGGTCCTCAGTTTAGAAAAAAGAGAAAAGAAGAGGAGGAGAAACGAGCAAAAGATACAGGTAAGCAGATGTGTCATTGGATAATAGCAGGTCATCCTGAAACAATCAGAATCAGAATACTTTATTAATCCCTAAGGAAATTATGTGAGTTAAAGTTGCTCCAAGAAGAAATGGTAAAAATACCAACAGTAACAGACTACACTCCAAACAATACATTATGTTACAGATTTTAACACTAATTAGTCCTAATTAGTTGTTGATTTGTCCTGTTCTCATTGTATGACGAATTATGATGGCTGTGGTAGCAGTTTTATGTTAATGTACAATCCTATGTTTTATGTGTGTGTGTGTGTGTGGGGGGGGGTGTGTGTGGTATTGAGGATACGTTATGCTTTAGTATATTGTAAAGTATATAGTGTATAATATATAAATATTATAACAGGTCTATACACTAGTTAGAGGGTGCAATGTACTTGTATTTGGTATTGAACCATTACGATACAGTGTTCGAGTTGACGGTACGCATGATGTATTAGGAACAATACTAAAATTTGTAATTTTTAATTTACAGAACGTTTTTCTTCTGACGTGGCTATGGTTGAAGCGCTTCAGTGGATCTGCGTTTCGAGCTACTCCGTCCTAGGAGCTGGCACTGTCGTGAGGTGGCGATGGGCCACATGAGCGACATGGAAGCTAAGCAGCATAGACAGAAGACTAAGCTTCGTTGGCAAGAAGGACAATGGGCAGAACTGCCGTAATGCTACATCTCGGAGAATGTGAACCTCCCACAGGCTCTTAGATTGGGCTTTAGGAACTTTTTGTGGTTTTTCATGTGTCGAGAGCAAATGACGACGCTGATGGTAGCCGCGTTAGCATGGACAAAAGGTGAACATCATGTCGAGGTGTTGCCACGCAATAGCTCATTAATTGTGGGATAGTGGTTGCAGGCATGCTAGCTGCTCTGTGACCAGTGTTGGTCACGTTACTTGAAAAAAGTAATCAGTAACTAATTACTGATTACTTCCCCAAAAAGTAATCCGTTACTTTACTGATTACTTATTTTCAAAAGTAATTAATTACTTAGTTACTTAGTTACTTTTTAAAAACACGATTTACAACCTGAATAGGTGATAAAGCGATAGATCTTTCAGCCCAATTCTACTTTTTCTGCATAATCCATCATACAAAATGTAATCAAATGGAAAAGTCTCTTTTTTTAAAACTTGTTTTATCAGTTTTAATCTTTTAACTTTATGCATCAAGCAAAAATTTAATTATATGCAACATTCTCTGACTGGAAGAAATTAGTTTAACATTTAAACCTATTTTCTGCACATTCCAGCACATAAAATAAAATATTTTTTGTGTTTACACTCACTCTTTCAAATAGATGCAAGTAAAACACAGCAGAAAATAAATAAAGTCAAAGACTCAGCGGTCCTGTTGCTCTATTTTCACCTGTAAAGCAGGAGTGGGGTAGGCGGAGGTTTACCCTGGTGCAGGTGTGCCGCGGTCAGTGAAGAATCCGCGAGTTTCTCTGTGAATTTCCCATTACGTCGTAGCTACTCGGTGCTTGCTTGGAAGTTTAGGGTGTTTTTTCGCTGTAAAAAAGTTTTCTTCCCACGCACAACGGACGCTAATGTTTTTGTCACTTTTTATGGAATCAAACTCAAAGTAAGGTCAGTACTTCCACGCTTTAAACGCTGCACGCTCATACTCTCTCCCACAATCGATATGTGATCCATTGTTGATCTGCACACAGCTGTTGTCACTAACGGCGCACTCGCTTACGTCACTGTCGTGAGACATTCTCGCAAAAAATCACGGTTTTAGTAACGCAGTAACGCAGCGTTCCTACGGGAAAGTAACTGTAATCTAATTACCGTTTTTGCAATAGTAATCCCTTACTTTACTCGTTACTTGAAAAAAGTAATCAGATTACAGTAACGCGTTACTGCCCATCTCTGTTGTTAACGTGTTGACGCCGTCCAGCCCCACGCACCGGGTGATCTGCAGTAACTCGTTAACGGAGATTTGCCGCGTTATGGTGTTAATGTCATTTTAACGAGATTATGCTGACAGCACTAGTGGGAACACAATGAATATGACTGCACATTTACGCCGACATCATCCTAGTGCAAAGACAAGTGGAAGCAGACAAAAACAACAAGCACGCATGCTACAAACTTTCCGTGTAATTTACGTGATCTAGGTCAGCGGTCTCCAACCTTTTTTGCACCACCGACCGGTTTATGCCCGACAATATTTTCACGGACCGGCCTTTAAGGTGTCGCGGATAAATACAACAAAATAAAACTAGTACCGAAAAAAGAAGATTTATTCATAACACACGTGAAAAGACCCAGGAAAACCGAGTTAACGATAAAAACGATAACAAAATAACGCTGAAAAGCAATAAAAACCCTGAAAACCAGACATTTCACACCTGAGCCTCAACTCTCGCGGCCCGGTACCAAACGACTCACGGACCGGTACCGGTCCGAGGCCCGGGGGTTGGGGACCGCTGATTTAGACAGCCGTTAGCACATGATTCTCCTTATGGGGACCTGATATGTTTAATATGCTGCTGAGAATATAGCCCAGAAGAAGCGTATAGTATAGCTTTTATTTTGGAAAGAGCCATTTCTCTGTAATAAACTCTCTTTTCCAAAGATGAGTGATTCTCATCAGATAGATTTATTTTTTATTACTTTGTTGTTTCAGCAACATTAAATTTAAAAACTGTACTTTTGAGTTAAAATATATATTTATAATTTTAATAAATGACAAATTAAAAGGCATGAACATTTTTTTGTATTGAAAAAATATCGAACCGTGACACCAAAGTATCGAACCGAACCGTGAATTTTGTGTATCGTTGCACCCCTGAAAATATATATATATATATATATACACATAATTTTATTTATAATGTCAATAAATCTTTTTTACAGTGGACGTATGGTCATGGGGTAGACTGCATGTGTGAGTACAAGAAAACAATTATAATACAAATGTGTTAAATTTTCTTAGATGAGAGGGTCCAGCAGTAGATCAGAGGAATAGGGAAGGATTTGTCTGTGTGTTTTAGTTTGGCTTAGCTGTAGGCTTGAGAGTGTGTGTAATTGTGTTAGAGGGAAAGGAATTTATGGACACTGGGGTCTGCCTGTCATAAAAGGAGACAGGAAGCTACAGTTGGGGGATGATGATGCTTGTACCTATAATAAAAGCTCATAATTGTCACAACTTAGAAGTAGGTTTCCAGGAGACTCTCCACATGCTTAGCTGTAAGAGTAAGACAACAAGAGGCCAATGGCCCAGTGGATGCAGAGTGGGGGTCTCAGTGCTTGTAATATGTTTTGTATGTCTGGTAGTGGAATTTGGTGAACCTTGGGTGAGGGGAGATGACTTTATGACCGGCAGGAAGTCACATATACAGAGACACACGCTCACTCACGTGCACATACATACACACACTGGTACGCGCACACACAGGCCCTCACGTGCTCACGCATACATACACAAACACAGAGTTTACAACACACCATGTGGGTTTTACAATGGGGTCGGTTCTATAAAACTGGTGGAAACAAACAAAGAGGTGGAGATTTGCAGAGGGACACCGGACCTGTACGTCTCCCCTTCTAGAAGGTGCATGCGTAACTGAAGATGAATAAAGGTTTTGTGAAATGACTACTGAGTCCTGTGTCGTCTCTGGAGGCCCGAGGAACAAAAAAGGAACCGGGGTGAAACTGCTTTACGTAACACATGTTTGATTGTTATTTTTGGATCCATCCTTCTTTTTTTATATTTTCATTTAGCATTACACAGATTTTTCTATTCTGCGAATCCAGATAATCCAAATATTAGATTTTCAAATTGAAATTCAATTTAGCCTTTGTTACGAACATCTCTATGGAAGTCCAGAAAAGTCACGGATAATGGACATATTTTTTTGTACAATTCATTATTCAGTTAGGAAATACTTATCTGCTCTGTTGATAATATTTGAAAACAAAGGTCTGTGTACATTATTTCTTTTGAAAGACTGGCATCAGAGTCCACACTTTATTTAATTTGGTAAGAGTCCCAGAAAATAAGAGTCACCTGGACAGGAACTCTAGACAGTAAATTTAGCATAGTGCTTCAGTGATGTGATTTCTTTCCTTACACAACATGTCTGATGGCCTTAGCTGTGAAGGTAGCTCCCCTGTATTGCTGGATTTCATTGATGTCAGTCTCCACTGATCCAGATGAAGAAAACGTTTTAAAGTAAAAGTGAACCCATGGTGAAGTAGAGAACTGGGAAACAGAAAACTAAAAAAAAAGGGGAAAACAATAAATATATCAATCTGTCATGCTTCATGGATCTAAATAGAAATAATAATGCAACTGTTTTATGTCTGTGCTACTATTAACTGAAGAGGGACTACAGCATCTTACCTGTGCATCATTTAAGACAAATGATTGGATTAGATCTTTCACAAACTTCTTCATTGTTTGAAAATCAGGAGATGATACGCTGCCTGAACCATCCAACAGAAAGGCAATGTCTACTTGTGGTGGGCACTCTATCAAAGACATGGAGTCAAAATCTAATCAATTTTTATGGGCTAATTTTAACATTTTTCCTCACATCATGCGAGCAAAAGGATTCTGAGGCTTTCAGTAAGTCAGTATTCAGTAATGAATGCCACACACATAAGGAAGCTCCTTACCATGCATGGAGGGTTTCACTCCCAGTCCAGCACCCTGAGCCTGAACGCTAAGTGGAAGGAATGAGGCCGAGGACTAATGCATGTCTGAACCATTTTCCAGGATGAGACAATGAATATCCATGAGTACATCAGGAAGATGATCATAACTGACCGCATGCTTAGTAAATGCCTCAGGCAGCAGAAAACCAAGAAAGAAGACCAAGGGGAGGAGGCATCATGGAAGGACAAGCCCCTGCATGGTATGTACCATTGGCAGATAGAGGAAGTGGCTGGAATGTTTAAGATCCATAGAGGCTGAGTTCTACCACACCAGGCAAGACACCATGTGCAGGCTGTGTAATGATGTTGCTGAGACAGCAGGGTGCAAGATGCTAGCAGGCAGGGCATACATGGAATGCCAAGTGGCTGGCATAGTATATAGTAATATGTCTGTGCTGAGTACGGCCTGGAAGTCCCGAAGTCAAAATGGGACATGCCCCCAAGGGTTGTCGCGAATTACCGTGCTAAGATCCTGTGTGACTTCCAGATACATACAGATGAACTGGTGATAACCAACCTGCTAATCAACTGGACATAGTAGTGCTGGACAAGGAGAGGAAATGTATAGACAGTTATCCTTAATCCTTAAGTTAT